ATTAAGGTCAGTCCATCGTTAGTTGATCACACCTAATGATCACACCTAATGATCTGACCTAAGGTTCAGACCTAAGGTTCTCATTTCAATTAATTAGCCGAACAATGAGTGAATGTTATGGTAGCTAGTTAAGAACGAAGTGTTGGGAAGTACTCCCTTCACTCCATCGTTTAAAAATGATTCCTTCACCCCCCTCATTGTTAGTGGTATTTTTTCTAAGGTAATTTATCTCCAAGATGGAAGTGCTTCATCAACAATTACTAGGTTCCATTCTGGTTCTTAGTGGTATAATGATGTTAGGTAGTATGAATAATGATAATACTCAATGTAAGCGGACTCATGAATGTCTTTATGAATGTCTTTATGAATGTCTTTATGAATGTCTTTATGAATGTCTTTATGAATGTCTTTATGAATGTCTTTATGAATGTCTTTATGAATGTCTTTATGAATGTCTTTATGAATGTCTTTATGAATGTCTTTATGAATGTCTTTATGAATGTCTTTTAGTAGGTGTACGATTTTGGTTAAGTGTTATTCGATATGTTGTCATTATTAGTAGTGGAGTGACATTATTATGCCAAGAGAAATTGAGACCACTTCGAAACCCTAGAACAGATACTAAGGAAATACTTAAGAGATACGAGAATGAGATGGAATTAGATTTTGATGTTGTTGGTCCATTAACGTCACGTATAAGACTGCCAGCATTCAATAAATTAATTAATGAGGATCAGGATTCATAATCAACAAAGTTCAACATTTTAACTGGCTCGTTGGTTAGCTCGTGGGATCGGTCGAAGTACATGGATTATGAACCGGTATGAGTGGCAGGATAATTCTATTTTTGTATACCAACAATAAGTCAGTTCAACAATAAGTCAGTTCAACAATAAGTCAGTTCAACAATAAGTCAGTTCAACAATAAGTCAGTTCAACAATAAGTCGGTTCACGGGTGAATTTATTAAATGTGTAAAGTGAGTAATGCAATACAGGTGAGAAAAAAAAGTGTGTGTATAAATCGTGTGTGTATAAATCATTGTATGTGAGGTTAGAGTGTTCATAAAGGATCCTGAATACCGTCAATTGGATTGTCAAACATTCAAGGGATATGCATTCCGTCGAGCATGTGATTTTCAGTTGTCATTTATATCAGATATACAAGTAAAGAAGGAGGCACAGAAATACGCTAAAGGAAATACGAATGAGGAAGCTTTTATTAAAATGCAGGACTATTTGGACCAATCTTCGGTGAAGTATACTCGTGTTTTTGTTGAACCATATCAGAGAGAAAAAACGCCAGAGGAGATCGAAAAGGAGAGGCTAACAAGAGTTACTAGGAGCACTAGGCAAAATACCACAGCCGGATCGTGGGAATATCGATATGAGGAAAGAAGTGATCAAAGCCTTGAGTCAGAATCGGAGTTTCGCTATCAATTAAATACAAGGAGAAGATCAAGAGGAAACCGCAGCAAACATACTTTAGAACCACGACCTATAAAAATTCGAAGAGGCCCGATATTCATACCATTCAGTGATCTGAAACCAGAAACCAGGCCAAGATATTATCCCCGATTCTTACAACATACATTCTAACATGCCATCCAACCACCTTCTCTTGTATTGAGATCCAGCCCAGCCCGTCAACC